GAGAGGGGGTGTTGAGGAATACAGAGAACAGCTGGCGTGAATGGGGGATGGGAGATACTGCAACCACAAGCAGGGGTGGTGTGGATATCGATACTAGTATGGCAGCACGTCTACTCTTGAGCACGCTGTTAAGGTTGCAGTGGTGAAGGCATTCTGGCTGTTAACCCCGAGATCACGGGTTCAATTCCCTCTACCGTCACCGAGATATAGAAAGCCTGATGGATGCTTTGTTGGAGAGAAGAGGGCAATTCAATCCAGCTGTCAACGGAGTCATTCAAAAGTATACGTATGTAGTTGTTCACATTCACTGCATCGGCGCATCATTGAGTCCCTCGTGCAGGGCACGGGATAACTTTCTGCACGACCTCTCCCAGCAGACCGACCCCCTCCTGATTGCAAAGCTACCGAACCCAAGCGCACAACCATTGGGTTGGTTACTGCACTGGTGCACATGAAGTCATCTCAGATACATAACTCTCGAATCCAAGGCCTGGCCGATAAGGAGGGTTGGTAGTCAGCCCCATCTGATCAGGCCGACCTGCTAAAATTTCAAGGGAGGGGAGGGGGGGGGAAGGGGGGAAGGCAACCGACCCCCATCGATCAGGCCGACCGTGGATCTGCCCATGCCAATCCAGGGAATAGAACCTGCAAGAATCTGCATCCTGTGTGCCATACATAATGTGCATTGCCGATGCTGAAAAGAAGTGGCTTGCAGCGGAATGGATGATGGATCTCTCAATGTGTGTACAAGAAGACAAATTGACAAAACTATGTTTAACTGTGAAAACTGTGAAAGGACGAAATTACAGATGCAGATGGGCAGAGCACTCTCCTTGTTTGCTTGCTTGTAAAGGGCATCTACCCTGACACCACTTCCTCGTTACCTTGGCGAGCGGGCTGCACGAAAAATGGATGCCAAAGAAAATGTCATCTGTCAAGATTCATGTGATTTGACTGAGATGGCTTGCATAGGGGCTGCTTGAAACCAGGAAGCCTTGCGAAGAAAATGTCATCCGTCAATATTACTGCTTTCCAGAAGAAAATGTGAGAAAGTTGGGACAACAGTTAGTGCATGCATGCCAGGTTGTCTTACTCGTAAATTTTGAAGAGGAATTGGGCATTGTGTGTGTGTGTGTGTGTGTGTGTGTGTGTGTGTGTGTGTGTGTGTGTGTGTGTGAGAGAGAGAGAGAGAGAGAGAGAGAGAGAGAGAGAGAGATTGCTTGGCAGTCAAGCAAGGCTATTGTCTACACCCGAATAGAACATGATTGAGCCTTTTGTTTGTGGGTGTGTGTATGTGTGTGTGTGGGGGGGGTGTGCGTGTGTGGGCGGGTGTGGGTGTGTGTGATTGTGTGTGCATGTGTGTGTGTGTGGGGGTGGGGGCAAGGAATAAGACCACTGCGATGTAAATCGCAGTGCGCTGCGTTTTAAACCACCAGTACCTACCGGTTGTCAAGGCCCGTGGCTCAGGCTACCAGTAGGCCGGTCATTCCCGAGCCTCGACTTTATTGCCGAGCCTCGGACAACCGGTAGTACACAGCAGGAAAAAAGAAAAAAAAGAAAAAAAAGAAAAAAAGAAAAAAAACGAGGACAACAATCTGAAAAAAAAAAA